TCGTACCAAAAACCGGATATGTTTTTTGTAACAGGCCTGAAAGGCAGATGATCAGTCTTTGGTGAGTTAAAATCAAAAGGAAAATAGTGCTCCATTAGAGATAGACATTTTGCACAGCAAAGGCTAGGTATGTGTAAACGTTTGGTAAATTACCCGTCTCACTGCTTTCTGTAAATGTCATTAAAACAAGGGTCACTAATAAGACTACCAAGACCCAGTGTTGTCTTTATAGAGTTTGTATCTTTGGGTAAAGACGTTACAAGTTACACGGAAGTTTTTTGAGGTTTACAGGTCCCACATCAAGAAAACAACTAAACTATGTATGCCCTTCAATGAAATGTGACGTCCTAATAAAATGTGTTCCGCGCCTGACAGGCTGCGTTTCTCCTGCTCTGTAATTTTTTTGTCTTTTTCGTATCTTGTGGATGGATTGTGGCCAGTGTTGCCATTCTTAGTTTTTTACCACTAAATTTAGTGTTTTTTGGGTCGATTTAGTTTTTTAACTTTTTTGGGCCACATTTAGTAGTTTTTGTTTTGATTTATTCTACTTACAACTATCATATAAAATCGATTAAATAATTTTGTCAATCTTTCGTTAAACGTTATAAACCAAAATTAAATGCATAAATAAATGCGAAAATGATGACTATAGTCCAAGAACAGTCTAAAATCTGGCCTGTCTAAAGATTATCAAGAATCAAAGATGTACAATAGGCCTAGATCTATATATTATGAATATGTTTGACTGGTCAGAAATAAAGAACCAACTATTACAGGTTTTTTTTTAAAGAAGAATAAATATGTAATCAAGGCAGATAAAAAAAAATTGGGTTTTTTTTCGTCCCTTTTAGTGGAATTTTTTTTCTCCAAATTTAGTAGTTTCTTAAAAATCTGGATGGCAACACTGATTGTGGCTTCTCAGTTGGCATACAGGATAAATAAGAAACCTTTGTGCTTTTTGTACTAATGTTATTAGTGCTTGACATAGATTGTTTGCCCACCTTGCTCCACCAGTATTGAATTCTCTTCCTCAACGCTTGAGACATACAACATCTGAGTCTAAATTTAAAGTACCTTTTTAAAGACACATTCATTTAATTACATTATTTTTATATCAGTAGATTCATGTTCAGTACAATGCTATGTAAATGATTATATATCCATTTATGTATTTTGCGAATTGCATTGTGTATATTGTTTTATTATGTATTTGTATGTGCTCATTTCGTAACGATTTGTAAGCGTACACGTGGGATAAGCAAGTAGCTGTATGTGTGCGTATGTGTGTGTGTGTGTGTGTGTGTGTGTGTGTGTGCGTGTGTTTGGCGTGCATGGGTGGGCACGCGTGTGCATGTAATGTGTGCGTGAGTGTGTGTGTGTGTGTGTGTGTGTGTGTGTGTGTGTGTGTGTGTGTGTGTGTGTGTATGTGTGTGTTTGTGTGTGTGCGTGTGTAAATATTGTTCGTACATGCATTTATGTAAAGCGCCCTGACCTGTGTTCATACGGGAGTGGGTGCTATTGAGATCATCTACATTATTATTATCATTATTATTATTATCATTATTATTATTATTAATATTATTTTATCATTATTATTATTATTATTATTATTATTATCTAATACAATATAGATTATTCTGATGTTACATATTAATCCATCGGCGTCTGTGGTGATGGGGTTAGGCGTGTGTCTGTCGTCCTTGTTCGATTCCTGAGTTTGGTAGAAATTGGTATCGAGTGTCTTGGTCTTGCTGCTGGAATGTTGTATCCCCGTCAGCCCGTGTTGGCAATGGTAGGCAGTGTTGGATGCCCGCCTCCTGAATGATCTAAATTGTGTCGATTTGGACGTAAAACAACTGCATTTCAACAAACAAATAAAATTTGACTCCATTCAAATCCGTATAACTTTCAAGAGAAAAACGTTTTGTATCTTGGAAAAGCCAGATAGTTTGCGAATGGCGAAAGAAGGCAAATAATAATTGTGCAGTATCGTGGTGGAATCAGAGAGTTTACAGGGAATCAAGCTCTCTTAAAAATAAGGAAATCTAAGAAGCCTGCACTCTTCCGCCTGTAGGGCTATTTTTATCGATTTTTAGAAGTTTGGGCTCAACAACGTTTACCTTTACTTATAAACACATTTCTGTTTGAAATTTACAAATGAAACGTCAATCAAAAGCACAAAACTGTTAATTTTTACAAAGACACCCAAAGCTTTGAAAGTCACTTACTTTTGGCGGCTATTTACTAGCTAATTTTACTTCTGACACCGGATGACCCCACCCCCTTCAATTGCAAATATTTCAACCTCTATTCAAGATAGATTGAGGGGGGGGGGGTCATCAAAAGCATGACAAATTAACAATCATTAAGATTATTACCAAAACTCCAGGCACTCCAGGGCTATTCTCCAAATTACATATGTGTGTGCGGCGCGCCAGTTCAGCAGCTGGCTCGAATGTTTGGAATAAAAATAAAAGTCAAATTCATCTGATCTACAATCAGACGGGATGTTTACTGCTTGGATAATTCATTTCAGCTAAGGTTGGTGTTTATTTTATGCAACTATGGTTTCAGAAATAGGTTAAATTAGCAGCGGAAGTATGGGAAATGTGATGCCGAAAACTTTGATACCAAAATTGGCTGCGTACAAAGGAGGAATAGTCTTCCATATTATATTAGGAGTTAAGGGGGGGGGGGGG